TTAGTAAAAATGAAAAAATAATTTTTTTAAAAATCCTCTTCATATAGTGTCTGAATTTGTAATACAAAAATATATAAATATATGTTAAATATCTATGTAAAATATGCAATGCATAATAATGAGATTCCATATTCATATATAGAACTTGGAGTATTTTCGAGTCAAGAAAACCAGGGGGGCATTAATGATTGTGAAGAATCACTGAAGCAATGTCACATTCTGCCAGAAATGTGTCATTGTGGTATGGTAATATTAATAACCAACAAAATAAAACCAGCAGGAGCATGGTGGACATTACTCGATTCTCCTCTTCTTTTTCAACTTTCCTTCACGGTCTGGCTCCGAGGAGCCTGAAACCGTAGTAGTTGAACTATGGGCTCGTCCTGAGGATCCACCTGAGAAAGTAACAGAACTCTGACCTCGTCCTGACTCTAATGCTGATCGGCCCATGGATCCAGAGGGTTCACTGACGTGTTTTCTTTTTAATGGCTTCGATTCCTCACTGACTCCAGATATGGAACTTTTATGTTTGCTACTGTGTGTGGAGGCTGGATCACCCCGACCAGACTGTGAGCTTCTCACCCAATTACTTTGCGTAGGAGTTGATAAATAGTGAGAAGAATTTGTCAGAAATGTTCCGGTTGGTTTTTGATGCTTTTTGGAACTCAGTTTTTCAAGTTCATCTGGCTCTGGGTACCGAACAAGGGAAACTCGCCGAGAAATTCTCCCAACTAGCAGCAGGGCAAAATAAATGTAGAGAAACTCATCACAAAGACATAACTCTTAAGCCATGCAGATCAGCAACACAATGACAGGAGACAATCAATTAAACTTGATGTTAAATGAATAATATATGGAAAGACAATTGGCCAAAATAGCTCACAAGTGACCCTGCTAATCCAAAGCATATGTTTTTACTAATAGCTTTATAGATGAGTAATAACAAACCAATATACATGTATATGAACACTTTGAACTTTTTGTGCAAGTTGACAACGAAAATCTCCAAACTGAATATGAGTAAAATCACAATTATCCCAAAACATAAAGAACGCGAAGGAAACAGAATCACAAAACCAAAGTACAAGTTACATAATGTCAATTGTTGATTTGGTAGATTTCAAGTGAAAATATAAAGAAACAATAAAAAAAGAACTACAGAACATTAAATGCATACCAATCTTTGACTCTGATCCGGAAGGTAAAATAACCACAGCATCTGCCTCTTGAGCTGCAAAGCTGACCAAATCATAAGCTTTCCCTGTTACGATGAGTGCAAAGCAAATCAAAACGAAAAAGATCAGTTAGATAAAATTGTAATAGTAAAGAAGCTACCTGGCATATTGAATCACTTAACCGTGTAAACTAAGGTCTTTGAGATCAAAATCTCTATGTCCAGAGTCTATAATTACCAGATGAATCTTCAACACTGCTGAACTGCCCATCTTGATGAAGCTCGAGTTTCAATTCTCTCCCATCAATTTCAGGAAACTAAAATGCCATTTCGGAAAGAAATAAAAGTAAATTTCTTATAAAGTTAAGAACAAACACCAACTGAAGGAATGATACGGTGACATTTCAACCATAATAATTTTGAATTTGCTCTACACATAACCTTAATGATTATTAGTAAAATTTCCATAAAAAGTCATCAGTAATAAAAGATTGTGAGACCATTGGATTCCAAAGAAAAAGCCTAAATTAATAAATGTGGTATAAAAAAATCAAAAGTGGTTAAGCCTGTTGATACTTTTCGAAGTTTAATTCGAACACTGAGTGCCAATTACGATATATATTTATTATAAATCTCCTAACTTAAGTCCTCACTTGCTAGAAAGGAATCATACCTGATTAAGGGGCCACTGAATAAGCCAGAACTCCGTGTTTTCATTTACATTAATATCAATAAGTGGCTGCATGGTGTCCACTTCGAGTTCTGGTGGGGGTTTGTAACCGTCTTCATTAGCTGGATGCATTGTTTCCCTTAAGCTGACAACCCACCAACTGAATATCTAATGGGGAAAAAACAAAGGAATAAAAATCTAGTTCAGGCATTTGGATCCATCAAACATATAACTATGAAAACCTAGTTCCAGCATTTTGTTGAATGATTTGCAAATGATACCTGATTAATCCAGGTCAACACTAATTGCTGCCACAACCATTGACATAACAGCTCTCCAAAAATTCATTAAAATCAGAGTAGGCTAATCCACTGGTGTGGGATTAGGCACCAAAAAATTGTTCGGGGTGTATTCAAAACATGGCACAAGAAAGGAAGAGATCACACCCCTATGAATAATATAGCTAAATAGTAATGACTCGTTGTTTTCTGTCTATATTCTAAGTCGCAAGTAATAAGAAAATACTGAAACGAAAACTAATAGATAATTGGAAGCATGTTTCCACTTGAATCACTCAACTAATAGATAAGATGTGGAAAACCAGATGATATAAAGTAGGTCAGAACTAAGCAAGCTATCCTCATCATGTGATTAAAAGATATTCTCTGTTTGTTTTTCATTCTGTCATGCCAAACAATAAACTATTTTTTTTGGAATAAAAGTGTAGAAAAGTATTATTCGCAATGGCACCAAGGAGATACGACCCGTATGCAAATTATTTACAAGTTAATAAGGTGATCAATAACATTTCCAAAATCTTCCATCCTATTGATGTCATGACCCAAAAGCATAGAACCAAAAAGCATGGATTCATCTATCTCTAACATTATCCATCTCTCTCTCAATACCCTCATAAGCTCTAACATTTCTCTCCTTCCACACAACCCAAAAGATAGAAAGATGAATCATTAGTAAAAGTGTTTCTTTTCACAATAAACTACTGCCAAAAAGGGCAGAACAATCATTCCCCATAGGATTCAATTTATCTCATTTAGCGAAAACAGCCAACAAAAAAAAAGTACAGCAACTCATGATTTGAAAACAGTGAATATTCTAACTTAAAGGACTCACAAAGCAACCTATAAAGAGCTTAGGGTCAAAAAGATTGTCAAAGTTTAAAATGAACTTCTTGGTTTCTTACCCTTAAAGCCTGCTCATTATCACAACATGAGTGATGCATCGCTACATAAGACTCTGCAAAAAACATTTTAAGTTTTAAAAGTTCGATAGGAGTAGCCACCCATCCCATTAGAAGTAGGATCAGACAGTAAATAATGTATTGGTGTACACAAAAGATCCTAGGTCCAAAATACTACAAGATAGTAAATTGTGAGGCGCCTACCAGACTAAGTGTGTTCTGCAAACATTTTATTTATAAATGTCCTAATCTGTGTGAAGCATGTGAGGGTAAAATTCATTCATAACAAGTGTCTAAATATATTAAATATTACAAGTTCACGGAGGAAGGTTAGGAGCATCAACCCTATACTTTGAAACTTTGATTTCAATCCACATTAAAATATAGCTCATTTACATGGAAAGTAAGGTATATTTTCCAACTGTCATTGCATTCTATCAAACAAGAATTGGGACCAAAACAAACGTATACATGAATTCGATGGAGAACAAAACCAGAGCAAAAAAGAATCTAACTAGCTCATTCTAATCATCAACACATCGTCAAGAACAGTGCAAGATCAAATATCCCGAAACATTTAGTTCATTGCGTTTTACCATGACACAGAGCAAATTGTAAATCAACTAGGAAGCCAGAAGAGTCTGTAAAGTAGAATACCGCATTTACCTTCCAACGGCCGAAATTGCTTCCCTGTGTTTTCCTCTTCTTCTTTCTTGTTTTCTTCTTCTCTGCCTCTCCTTTGCTTATGCTACCAGAGATCCCACAATCCCTTCGCTATTTGCCCTCACTTTTTCTGCCTTTTGAAACCAGAAATCTCTTCCCTCACTCTCTACTCTTTCTCTCGGCTTAAACCTCAAAATCCATAAATCAAAAGCATAAGCCCTTCTTATATCCACTCTATTTGCTCTCAAACTCTCTCCCGTCTGCAGCGATTACTGACCAAAATTTCCGGCAACGGCTTCCTACCACGCCCTATCCTTCCTTTGCATATTTGGTCGATCACACCCCGGTTTCTTGCACAGCGAAGCGGCCTCTTTCTTCTTGCTTTCGTCTTCGCGGCAGAGTCGCACGCCTTCTCTGTGTGCTTCTCTGCTTTCCGCCAACACAAACTTTCCAGCTTTCTTCCTTTTGTTTCCTCGTTCGCAACCCTGACAATATAAAAGGATGCATTATAATTGAATGGGCTGGGTTGCATCCACGGCCTGTGTTGATTTTTTGGGCTTAAATGTCTTAGGCTAAAGTGGATGTAAGATGAAATGCTCAAGAGTTTTTAATTAATTTTAATTAGTTAATGCAATTTATTTTACAAATATTATTTTATATTCAATTTTAATTTAAGTTTTATTTTTTATAAATTTTATATTTTTAGTATATTTTTTTGTTTCTTTATCGTATTACAATTTCATATACAAAAATTTTAATTATTTATTTCCCCTTTCTTTTCAAAAAACTTCTATATTTACCGTTAAATAAAAAATATATGGATTATTAAAAAAGCTAAATTCACTCAATACTTAAATTTCTGAAATATTTTTATGTGAAATCAACAACATAATAAATTTAATAAATATATTATAACATAATGTAAGATAAAAATAAATGAAAGAAATATACTCCCTATGAATACTTAAAAGTATATATATACAGGGCACCTAGACAAAAATATAAACAATAATGATGGAGAAAGTGTGGCAAATATTTTAAGATGCAGTTCACCGGTGTAGCTATTATTTGTTTAAATATCTATTAATTAATAAGTTTGTATTTAAATATATTCAATATCTTTATTTATGTTCAAGCCTTTTTTTATGCTTTTTTTTTTTTTTTCGAAGTACGGGGAAAGCTGCAATTAATAAAATTTTTATAATCCTCCATTACCGCAAAAGAAGAACATGATATTATTTTTCTTTTCCGCATAGACCATAATATTTGATGCAAGCGTAAAAAAAATAATATTTAATTGATAAAAAACTCATTTATTGATTTTCCACCCCTTCAGTCATTATAAATGTCTTAAATCAGTGCAATAAATTATGTATATTTATTTATTTTTTTAACTCGAAATAAAAACTGATTTTAAAATTGATCATAAAGTGTTTAGGGTTTGACCATGAGAGTCTCTTAACTATGTTTTTTTTTTTAAGATAATTATTTAAAATATAATACTTAAAAGATACTTATTTTTTAAAATAAAAAAATAAATATATTTTTAATAATCATTTACTCAATTATATATGAGTTATTATTAAATTTTAATAATTATTAATATTCAATAGTAATAATATGATTATTATTTACCGAATACAATTTAAATTAATATATTAAAATTTAAAAATATTTTTTTTTTACTATATATAACTCATAGTTGAAAAACATATAAATTGTGAAAAAATAATGTTAAGCTACTTAAATTTTGATGCAAAGCTTGACATTTAGAGAATATATTTTATTAAACTAATATTTAGTTTGAATATAGTTTTTGAATTTAAAAAAAAAATTATGAAAGTACCTGTAAGATGATTTTATTCGATGGATTAAAAAAAATAAAAATATAAAAAAAACAAGATAAATACTAAGTAGTAAGAAAAATAACTAAAAGACAAAATTCTCGCATCTTACTTATCTACACATTAGAAAGCATTAATGTTATTATCTCATTGATACAACCAATAAAGGAAGAACAAAAAAATTAAAAAATAAAAATAAAAATACTAAGTATTAAGAAGTCCAAGAAAAAAAACTACCTATTAAAAAATCAAAAAAGAAAAATAAGAAGGCACATAATAATAAACTAAAATCTAATTTTTTTCAAATTCACACTGTAATAATCAAAATTTTGCCGGTGCCTCTTTCCCATGGTGCAAATTTTCAGTACTTTTTTTTTTTTTTTTAATATTTTTATTATATTTTTACAGTTTTAATTATTTGTCCAATTATGTTCCTTCTTCTATTGCTATCGTCAAACCCACCCATCAAAACTCTTCTCACGAGGCCCATAACTTTTAATTGTTACCCCAAAATCAAGGTAAGCCCAAAAACAACATTAAATTGTTACCCCAAAATGCCGGGTCATCCCCAATTTACCCTAAAAAGGAGTATTTAAACTTCTCATTGCTCCCATGGCCGACAGAGCATACACTCAAATCTCAGCTCATCATTTCGCTCTCTGTATACAAAAACCCAGATTCCCCGTTGCGTCCATAATCTTCTTTCTTCTTCATTCTTCTTCATTCTGTCTAACCACTTGTTAGTCGACACATAGCACCGATCAGTCACTGGTTCTTCGCCATAAATTGTCATCCCCTTATCTCTGTTATCCGTTTCCTTTGTTCACCGCCTTGAAAATTCCCTTCTGGTATTTCACCCTTACATCAACATGTCTGCAGTGCCTATGATGGTGTTAAATATACTCCGAGACTTTTGTTCGTTATGCGTCTCTCTATTCGATTATGGATTTTATCAGTAACAGACTGGGGAATCACTTGAAACTATTACGCTTAGCATCGTTTTCTCCAGATGCCATCTTTTGCGCAGAAGTCCTCAAAAATGTTTAGTAGATATTTGGTGGGGCTGAAGTAGATTTGAATAAATAGTTGAAGTGCGTTTTTCTTAGCTGATCTAATGATATATGCAAATGACGAAAAACTAGACAGGGACATCAGATCACTAATGGTGAATGATGACTTGGTCTAATGGGAATCTCTCTGATGCTTACACAAAGCTGTTTTAATTCTTTAATGAGCTTGTTGAAGTTCCATTTTAAGTGCGTTTTAATCTGGGCACAAGTAGTTTTTTTTATGTCTCTCCTGCATGCGAAAGGATATATTCCCCTTTTTTTTGTTTGAATTATTTGAATATTTTGTTTCTTTTTTTTTAATCACCTGTGCAAATGACGATGAAGCAGACAGGGACATCAGTATTGCCTTTGGGCATGATGATTTGTCTTTGGGAATCTCTCTGATGCACCACAGTTTCTTGATTGAAACATATTTTTGCTTATTTCTCAAATCTTTGTTTGCCCATGATGCATTCTAATGCACGTATTATCAGATAGATGATGATGATATCTGCTTGTCGCTACCTCTGAGGCAAACCGTAGAAGATTTAATGTTTTCGCGCATCTGTTTTATTATTTTGAATTACGAACTACAAGTTAAAAATTTATGACTTAGTGATTGCATGTCTTTTTGGGTCTAACTTTGTTTTCTTTGTTGTTATGGCTGCTAATTTCGTTTAATCAAGTGTGCTTTTCCTAGAAATTGTTCTAAATAATTTGTTGAATTACTTGTATTTTACACCCTCCACCAGCATTGATTGTTGAAGTCAATATAAGCAATTTCTGATTTCTTTTTGCTTGAATTTTACCCCCCTCCACCAGCATATCTCCATAAGTTATTTTAAATATGCTGTTTCCGAATACTTTCTTTTATCATGGTTTACCAGTGATGGTTTTTAAATCATCAGATATGAGCATAAAATGATAATATCTAGTAACTCTGAGGTAATCCATGTGTGTCCTCTCTTAAAATTTTGTTTTCCTGCATGCAATATTGTTGTTCAGTATACTATTTTCTATATTTTGGTATGCTGGAAAATTTCTGTTTGCCTGCTGTGGATTGAAATATATGAGTTTAGATAGGCCCGATGATTGTCATGTGAGAACGGAGATATGAAAGATGGTCTTTTGTTGTAGCCTGATCAAGGGATTGGGCTCCAAAAACCATAACATGTGATAAATGTTCTTGAAGGTATATGAAGGGCTCTGAATGCATGTCCAGTAGCGGCTTGTTCAGTTTAGTTCTTTTATTTTCCTTTTATTTTCTTATGGCTTTTGGGGTTGGTGATGAATTTTCTAGCATCAATCCTAACATCCAAAAAGAAGTTACAGATTGGAATTACGTTGTTGCTCCTTTTCATTCTAGAAACTAGACTAACAGTTCGGCACTACACCCATTTCTTGATCAGTCTAGTTTGCTCAGGATCCTGGTGATTTTTCTTGTTGGGTTTTGAATTTTGATTCATTATTTTCTCCTGTCGGATAAGTTCATTTGAAACTGTTAGAGTTGCATGCTATCATGTTATGTTTTCAGACTTGACCTATGCCTATGCCTGTGATGGTGTTAAATATACTTTGAGACTTAGGTCTGTGAAAAGAACAAAATCTGAGGCACTGATCTTTTCATTCTTTTTTTTGGTCTTAAGCTTTATTTTCCTCAGTCGCATATTTTTGTGCCTTAACTTCCAAAAATATATTAAATATCTCATTATGGCAGCCGTTATTGCAGGCATTGTTGCAGGCATACAGCCAGAATCTTGTACTGGTTAGATCAGAGTGGATTTTCTGAGTTGCTTCGTGCTCAATTTTCTAGTTGTGCTGCTATGATTGATCATAAGTGGATGAAAGTAGTTGGTGTTCCTTTTCTTTCAAGAATAGATGTCAACTGGGTTGTATGTATTTTGTATGTCATCAAAGATCGTCAATTGGGTTGAGCTATATCCCCCCGGCCCAAATGGAGCATGCAGGAAGGAGTGCAATCCTTTTTTTTTTTTTTTTAAATCTTTTTCTTGTTGCAGTTGGGCCATCTTGAATTTGAATCAAAGACCTCGCTTGTGAAATAAATTATTGTACTAAGTGGTCGAACCAATTGGGCGCAGCAGACAATTCTCTGTTGTATTCTGATCGTCTAGTTTGCTTGTTCCCCTCTCTTTTTTACCATTACAATGAGAGGAAAAAAGAGGGCACAAGAGACTTTCCTGATCTAATATTAGACTTGTTTTTCCTTATTTGCTAAAACCTGTATTGCCATGAATAAGTTCAGCTCACTCATTACCTTTCAGCGGGCAAAGTCTGCCATGTAAATATTGTCATGTACATAGGTCAGTGGGTAATCTTACAGTACAATTTGTTAGATCTGATTTTGTTATATATGTTAAAATATGTATATAAATTTTAACTTCAAATAAACTAAAATTTAAGAGAAGTTTTTTTAAAATAAATTAATATATTTTTAGTAATTTTACAGAATAAAATAACTAGCCTATAGATCTTAAAAATTACAAGGAAATCACAGATATTAAACCGAAAACAAACTTCCTTTAATTTGTTATAATATTTTAACTACATGATCCGTACTAATAAGGAGCGCAAATCCAGACAGCGTTAATGGAACAAATATCTATGTACCAAGTAAATTGGTCAACCAGTCACAGTGGCCCACAGATTAATTGACCATACGTGTGTTATATGACTTCTGTCAATCAACATCAAGCATCGGATCCAAATACTTTCATAACCCTGACCATCGATTTGACTTGTATGATATGGGAACTAAAAAGAATCTACGCCTTCGATTCCTAGGCTGCACCGTATTCTTAATGCAGGTGCACCCACATTGTATATCCCGAGATAAAGCGGGTATCATCCTGATTGCGTCCGAGTCGGAGCAACCGATGTGTATAGAGAAAAAGGGAAAGCGCTAAAGCGTAAAACTCTGAAAGTAAAACCCCAAACCTCTCTGGTTATAATTACTGATGTGCATGTACAGGGAGGATTGTCCCTATACCGTCCGATCAGATATTCCTAGGGTTTTCTTGTTCGATTTTGATCCCTTTCGCTTCAAGATTTGCTGAGTCTTTGTTGGATCTTCTCTTGACCGTCATCCATTTTTAGATGTACATAGTGATATATTGATTCTCTTCTTTTTCATCATTCTGATCTCTTCATCTCGACGAAGAGCTTTTGCTGGGTTTAAAGGTTCGTTCTATGCGCTGATAATTCCTCTTATTTGTAAATTAGTTTCCTTATTTAATTCTTAATGCTAATAAGAAGGTTTAGGGTTTGATTGGATTTGCTCTGGGAGAAATAAATGATTAGTAAAGTGAACACTTCTGTTTTGGTTTTTTCCCCGTTGGGTTTATCTACATGAGACCCGAGAGAGCTCAACACTGACGTTTGGCTTAGTGTTTTAGATTGATTATCATCCATCTTGATCGAGAAATTCTGTCGCGAATAAACGAAATGCTCATCATTTTGTTCCCGAATGCGTATTCTTTTGTTATTTTACTGGTTTACCTATCAGAAGGTGGTTATTCCCCTTTGGGTTTATTTTGTAGGTGAAAAAGCAAGAAGCGTATCGGTCCACAATTAGGCTTCTTGTTTACTATCTGCATTTTCAATGTACTGTCAATTTGACGTCAGGTAGCAGTGTCATTTTAATTTGATGAGGAAGAAAAGGAAAGGAACTGATGCGGAAGTGTCCCAGAACTTACAGGACGGTTTGAGATCAATAAGTGATTCGAGATCATCAAATATCAGGTCTCACTATTCATTAGAAGATTATGCTAGGCTGAAAAAGAGGTGCAAAGAGGATGCCAGCACACAGCCTATTGGTTCATGTAAAAGTAGACTTGCAGGTATTGCTACTGCCCCACCTTGTGGTGCATCATCTTTGGTTTTGCCTGGACGAGGTCTGAAGAGAAAGATAGGGTGCATAGATGTTGCCACTCAGACTGGAAGGAAAAACAAAATTGGCGATGACTTTGTTTCGGGTGTCACAATAGGGCAAGGAAAATTCGGGTCTGTTTGGTCATGTAGGTCCAAGACTACTGGAGCAGAATTTGCTTGTAAAACTCTCCGCAAGGGAGAAGAGACAGTTCACAGAGAGGTGGAGATAATGCAACACTTATCTGGTCATCCTGGGGTTGTGACATTGCATGCTGTGTATGAAGAGCCGGAATGTTTTCATCTTGTAATGGAATTATGCTCTGGGGGACGTTTGATTGATCAAATGGTGGAGGAAGGCCGATACTCAGAGCAACATGCTGCTAATATGTTCAAGGATGTAATGCAGGTTATCAGATATTGTCATGACATGGGGGTTGTGCATAGAGATATAAAGCCCGAGAACATTCTCCTGACAACTTCAGGAAAGATAAAGCTGGCAGATTTTGGTCTGGCCATGAGAATTGCCAATGGTAACTAATTTGCACATACTCTAAAGAACATGTTTACTTTTTTTCTTTAATCCCCTTTTTGATGCTATATTTTTCTTTCAAGTTATCTACAGCTTCTGAGTACATTGCCGTAAAATTAATTTGTATGAGCATATAGCCTGGAGGTCTACTTTATAATCAGATTAAGAATTGGCATGCAAAATCATATTTGCATATTTCAGCGCACACAAGCAAAAGGAGGATAGACAGGGAGTGGCAAAAGATGAGAGGATAATGTTTGTTGACTACAAATATGCTGGAATTCCTTTCTTTCTGGCCATTTGGTGTTTGATGTAAAAGAAGACATCTAAAATGACCTTTGCATGTGAATCTTAGACTAGTACTTTTGTATTTGACTCCATGCGTGTTTCCTCATTTATAGCAGTTTTTATGCAGGAGCAGATAAGAAAAACTCCTAGGAAATTAGGGTTCTTAAAAGATTAGTATATTATCTTTGAAAGACTGTTTCTCCAAAATCATACTTGCATATTGATGAGAAGGGGAAAGACTATGGTGAACAGTTGTTCTTTGTGTAAAAGGGATGCAGAGACTTGTAATCATGTACTGTTATGGTGTCAAATTGCATACAATGGACTATGATGTCCAATTGCATTCAAGCATGTTTGGAAGACTAAAGTGCCGCCAAGAATGACTTTTTTTTTTTTGCTTGGGAAGCTTGTAGAGGAAGTATATTGACTATAGATATGCTCATGAGGAGGGGAAGATGCATGGTTAATAGATGTTACTTGTGCAAATGCAATGCTGAATCTTGCAACCACATTTTATTGTGGTGTCCGCTGGTTTATGATCTATGGACATCCATTTATGAATGATGGGAATCAAATGGGTTATAACAGGAATGGTTAAGGATGAATTGTGGGCATGAGTTAGATTGTGTAAGAAGAAAAACATTTAATGCTTATTCCATTACCGCTAATGTGGGTTGTGTGGAAAGAGAGAAATACTAGAGTCTTTAATGGGATTGAGAACAACTTTAACATCATTAAGGATAGATGGTTTTATACTTTTAGTTTTTTGTTCTTGGGACATGATATTAAGGATTTAGAGAATTTTGGAATGGTGTTAGATCATTTGATTGAACTGTAAATAATGTAAAATGGGTGGTACCCCCTTGGTACTATTGGTATAGTATCTCTTTTTATTTAAAAAAAAAAACAGCCTATGAACTATGGTTATGATTGGGTTAGTAAGGGATGAGATATGGGCCTTGAAGGGTATCAGTGGTTGAAAAAAACATGTGGATCTCATCCCCTCGCTATTTTTTTGGGTGGTATAGAAGGAGAGAAATAGAGGAATTTTTGAGAGGATAAATGAAGATTTTGATAGTGTTAGGAATAATTGGTTCCAGACTCTGAATTTTTTGGTTTGGGGTCATCCTCTATCAGGTGTTAATATCCTAGTTGATATATAAATAATTTATACATGAGTTGGCACCCTCTTGGTGTTTGGAAATCTGTTATACATACTATACTTTTTATTTCTAAAAAATTTATTTTAGGATTCCTATTTAAATTAATTTCCTTATAGGAGGTTTCATACATTAATTTATTCTTTTAGTTATGATTTGTTCGCCAAAATTATCTCATCTTAGTCGTTTAAGTCTTAATTGGCATATAATTAGTGGAGGTATATGTATATTAATGTAGAGTGGAGAGTTGATTTATCTTTTTTTTTTTAAATAAAAAGTGTGAATTATATTAACAGGCACCAAGAGGATACCAACCCATATAAATAGTATTTACATATCCTATCAAAATGTCAATAAGTCCCTTAAATCATCCATAGAATAGAGAGGATGACCAAAAATAAAAAAAACCAAGGTTTGGAACCATTTATTCCTAATCGTATCAAAATTTCCTAAATTATCAACCTCCTTAAAAGCTCTTCTATTCCTTTCCTTCCAGATCACCTAGAAATTGATGAGTGGAATAGAAAGTTGATTTATCAATGTAGATTAGGACTAGTCAAGAGAAGAATTTTTCTACTTACTTTCTGGGTATATCATAATTTAATCCAAAATTGGGATTTTTTTATCTTTGATTCCCCAAATTTCTCTCTCTCCTTTCCCCATTTTGGTATCGGAACCAAATGACCATTTCTATTTGGTATGGCAGCTAGAAGAGGAAGAGATTCCAGAACCAAGCTGATAGATGGTGGATATAAAGAATATTTGGAGGCCCAAATGGAGGCATTAGGACACAACTATAACCCCTTCAATTTGCTAGAAGGAGGAGGCTTTGAGAATGATGATGGTTTCCATCAAAATCTTGTCGATTGGAGCTTACCTACAATCCATGACTAGAACAAGATGGGTTATATGGATACAATAGTTGCGATGGCCAAAAAGATGGGTTATATGGATACAACAGTTGCGAAGGCCAAAAAGTTGATAAAGATGGGATTTGTCAAGTACTTTATGAAAGTCCCAAACAAACTCTTTCATCTTTTTTAGTAGAAATTCTAGATTTGATCATGTATTGAAGATTTGATTTCATCTTGTCGAATGCTTATGGTATTCATTTCTTACGGTAGGCAATTATGAAGCCTTTTGCAACCTAAGTATTTTGGTCTATAAAGCGGAGACCAAAGAAGAAAAGATGGAAAGAATAACTTGGTAATCTGATTGATATTGGCAAAGAAAAGCAGGACTCCAGAATGATTTTCCCTTGACCCCCTGGAGAATATGCATGAGCGATGTAGGAAGCTCCTAGAAGAGTTGATCTTAAATAGATTCAATGTTATCTTCAAGTTTCTACTGCCAACTAGATATCTATTGTTAATGAGTTTCCTATTTAGATGAATCCGTTTTTAGTTGGACTTTATTTTCACTTGATCCTATCTTAATTTTTTAATTTTAATAGGAGTATGATTAAAGGAGCTCTGTATATGCCCCCTTTTTTCTTTTAGATAAAAGTAGCATTAAAGCCATGAAGGAGGTGGCTAAACCATCTACAAAAGTTTTTACCGAATTTCACAATTCAAAATGTATACTATGTTCTCCAAATCCATAACATCAAGAATAGGATTCCCTGTAAACAAGATATTAGGGTGTGGAACCAGTAATCTCTAATCTTGTCAAAAGGAGAGCAAAAGATTAGGCAATCAAAAGAGTTGACATTTTTTTTATTAGACATATGAACGAGAGTGAGAAACATTTTCCTAGATAGACATGCTCCAATACTCAATGAAGCCTAAAGTTCACTGCAACCAATCCTGAAGCAATCTGAAAAAGATTGATGAGAGCTAAAACAAAACCCCAAAATTTTGGCCTCTGAACTCTATAGAAAGAGATGATTGGCGATTTGCGTGCACAAAGGCTACATTTCCTTAGAGAGATCAACTTGGCACTTGGACAGGAAAGCCATCAAATCCACAAACTCCACAACCTCCCAATTAATGTTTCTAGATGGAAAACCATCAAATCCATGTAAATTATTACAGAGTCAGATTTACCAATATGGATAAGAAGCTATTGAAGATTTTCTCACTATTTTCTGGGAAAACCGGAATGGGAATTTACTCCAATTGCAGTATCTTTTGGTCACTGAACTCATTTCCCCACATTACCTTACTTTTTTATCAAGAACATTCTAGACCCATCCATTTAGTGGAAATATAGTGATTTTTATCTTGTGGAGGCATTTTTGTATCTGCATGATAGCATAAAAGGGAGCTTTCCGGCCTGGAAATATTAAGGGTAAATTTTTTGGTCCAACATCAAACAACACCCTCAACTGCGACAAAGAATATTTACCTGCTTTGTGCACTTTGATTTTCTTAAGGTTAATTTAAAAATTCCCCTTATATTTTTATTTTTATCAAGTTGCTCATTGTATTTCTATCTGTATCAAAATTAACTACTTGAATGATGAAATGACAGAATTGGTTAACTGAGCTATATGTTGTTATTTTAACTATATTTTCTTCTTATTTTTCCATTAACACACAACAATTCACTTGCGCTTTTGTTGAATTTTTGCATGGTGCTATTTTTTATATATCCTGTAAATTCTTGGGTAATTGATTTAATTAAAACACAATGAAAAATTTATTACAGTGATGTGTTAACTCATTTTGCCATTCCTTCGAATTTGAAGTTTTTAGCATCGTCCACTAAAGATTACTGTTTAATTTTGTTACCATGTAGATTCTCATCGTTTTCTTTAGCTTGATTGTTGTTTAAGAACATATTTTGTGCTTATGATGACATAATGTACAGGTCAAACTTTATCTGGTTTGGCTGGAAGTCCAGCTTATGTTGCCCCTGAGGTATTGTTGGGAAATTATTCGGAGAAAGTTGATATATGGAGTGCCGGTGTCCTCCTACATGTGCTCTTGGTCGGTGTTCTTCCATTTCAAGGAGATTCTCTAGAAGCAGTTTTTGAGGCAATCAAGAATGTAAAGCTTGATTTCCACACAGGGATGTGGGAATCAGTGTCTAAACCAGCACGTGATCTGATTGCAAGAATGCTGACAAGGGATGTTTCGGCAAGAATAACTGCTGATGAAGTACTGAGTAAGCTTCTGATGCCATTTAACTTTCTGGAGATGTGATTTTTCAATATAAAGGATATAATTGATTTGCTGGGCACTGTGGAAATCTCTAGTTTTTATATAAGTGAAAAACATAAGCTAACATCTTGACCGTTCCGCTTGAGAAATTAAAGTAATTATCAGCCATTGCAGGAATGAAACACCAAGGTACCAATCACGATGATGGAATATTCCAACTCATTTGTGTTTTTGGATTATTTAATAATTTATCAAGAAAAAATGAAAGAATTTTAGGAAAAAATTTTAAAAGGAAAAAGAATGTTAGTATTGTAGTCAATAAAAATTCAGACATTTTTCATCCTCCAGTTGCTCTTCCTGCGTGGTCTGATAATAACTTTTGGATTTTTTTTCTCGGACATTTTTCAGGTCATCCATGGATATTGTTCTACACTGAGCGGACACTTAAGACATTATCTAGCAAGACAAAATCTAAAAACCAAGTAGGGACTTCTTCATGCCTCTGTGCCCTTCCTTCTGTTCCAGAGTTGGATGGAACAAATGAGAATGATGGTAGTGGCTCTTGCAGAAGAGCTTTGTATAAAGCTTCAACATCTGACTGTTCGAGCTGCAAATCAGAGGAGCAAGACGAAAGTGGTTTCGTGGATGTGCTTGCAGTGGCAATGACTAACGTGAGAATTTCAGAACCGAAGAGGAGTAGAGTTTGTAGTCCAACTAGCCCTATAGTAGAACAACAGCACTCATCTAACTTGAGGGCTAACAGTCTCTGCAGAGCATTCTGATCGTGATGATAATGAAACTAATCACTAACATCATTATCTCCGCTGGTTTTTTGAGCTGGGGACATTAAAGTAGACCTGCCCCCGCTGCTATATTCAGTGGGCTAACGATGCTTAACAAAGTGATCTGTCGCTGGGATTTGACTGATATGCTTCTTTGCGTTCTTGTTTATCTTGTTGACCTGAAAATGTTTCTGGCTAACCATGTACAGAAATTTGTAAATATGATGTTACCAGCATCCCAAATGATCATTATCTCATGATTATTGGATATTTGCAGATTGTTCCTTGCCTGACATGCAAGTACAGGTATTTATTAATTTCAGCAGCTATAGAAGTGGGTGGGATTCCCTCTGGCACAAGGATATAACGGCCCTCTAGGGATTGGGTAATCTCTCTATCTAATGTTTTGGATGATGCATAAAATTTAGGGTCTACATGCCAAGATCATATATTTATTCTGGAATTTACTTGGAAATTCACATTTAGTATGCGAGGGTTGAAAATTTTATCATTTTATCTGAAAGTAAGGGAGCTTTATTTTCTTGTCAGATAGGAGTGTGTTTTTTAAAAAAATAGGAAGTGTGGCGAATACATATTAACATAGGTACCAAGAAAACAGAGGTGTACCATCCATTACAAAAGCTTTACAATGTGTCATTGACATTCAAAATTTTTATTGCTAATTATGTCATACCTTAATAAAATAGATTTAAAATAATACAATTATTTATTCTCTATTTTCATAGAATACAAAAAAATACTCAATGGAATCATTTTTAACAACTTTCTATCAAAGTGCACACCATCCCAAGTCCATAATTCTTCCCTCACAGGCCGAGCCACCGCCCAATTAATAGCAAATAGATTGTAAATAAGGCTTCACAGCTCAAAAGCCACGTGACACCACAATTGACACATGATTACATGATTCTTCTGCTTTCATGCACAAATAACATCTGTTTGAAATGCAAAACCCTCTAGCTTTTAATTTATCAATAGTCAGAATACACTCCCTGCAAGCTTCCCAAGCAAAAGACGAAATTCTTGGTAGGACTTTTGTTTCCAAATCTGCTTCATAGGGAAATGTTGTATCCGATCAGATAGGGGAGTGTGTTGATGACAGCGCATTCTATGGCAAGACTGGTTAGCCTTCCTTGCTAATTTTAAGAAGAGATGAATATTGAAGTTACTCCAGAGTATCTCTGAATTGTCATTTCAAACGTGATATCATGTAACCCATCCTGTGCACATGAATGTATATGATATCCTTAAGCACCTAGAAATAAATTTCTACCATCAAAGACTTTAGATAATGAAGTTTAAAAATAATAACCCACTTCAAAATTGAAATCAATCGCAAACTTAAGTATCACTTCCACCTTTGCAAAAGGACATAAAATTTAAGGGGGAGCCACTGAATTAGTGAGCTAGAGTATTCCACCAATGGTTCTGTTCCCAAGCCACATTATCATTCAAGAAATACGTGCTTTTGGAGCACAAATTCTCATTAAGAAGAACTCTATAGATCTCTGCTTTCTTTTGGTACAATCGTGTAATTCGTTGAATAATATGCAAATATTTATGTTGAGCACTAAAGAGCATAATATTCTAATCATGGTAGAGGAAACTAAACCACCGTCAGAGATATCATTACAAATGACAGAATTATATGGGAAGGCTTTACACAGGAAGGAACTGTATTTTTGCTCCCGCTTATCTTTTGAACATTTTGGACCACAGATAGACAATAAAGAAGCATAATAGTGCAAAGAGGACCACATGGACGACATGGTTTGAACCACTCCGGACAATGCTCTTGTTCAACTTCCTTAAGTTGTTCTTCACGCCTGCTTGTGCTTTGATCATAGTCATTTGCTGTCATCAAATAGATGCAGGATAAGAACTACAGTTCATTGCCTTAATGAAAATGATGCAACTGCAACTGTTTAATTATGGAGAATATTAACAACAGCCAAATGAATACATACGAGTCTTTAACATCTGAAATGATGGTAAATAAATGAAGAAAAGCCACTTCAAATAAAATCTGCAAATTTTTCAATTGGTCAAATCACTTTTGTTTTAATTCTAAATTTATGTTTAAGGCCTTTAATTGCTTTGCAGGAAACATTGAGCAAGGACTATATTGTTGCGATTGGCTGAGTTGTCCTGATATCATAAATTTAATGTGGGATCCTCGTTTATCCAATATTTCATTGAGTTATAACATTATCTGTTTTAGTTTACTGGGTGATGGATAAAGGAATAATCACTATGTATAAACAAGTATATGTTCCCGATGTAAACCTATTGGAAACATCTATTAGTATCTTCCATTGGCTTCAACTAGTTGTTCGCAAGTTGTTCCATCTGTGTTTATCATAACTAAAAAATTTGCAAGTGTGCATGCATCCATATGCACAGGGTAAACTAAAAATCTACTTAAATTCACCCATGTCTAACTTATTTTCACTTTTTCAGGCAGCTAATAATTTGATTAGGCTATGCCTGAAATAAATAAAAAATTTAGAGAAACTTATTTGCAAATCCAACATAGTCACTTAGGAAATGATACAAAATGTATTAGGATAACCCCAAAAAATTGATTTTGTAGGTACTTCCGTATGAGACTAGAATAATGCATTATAAATTCAATCAAAATGTAATGTTCTGATTTTATGGAATTCTATATGAGGTCAAGTTTTTCATTTTAAGGATGATTTTCACTAACTTTCTAGATCTATTTCAAATATAATCTTAGTAAATATCATGCTTCATTAGATCAGACTGAAGTGATGATGTGAATGCCTGTTCAAGATGGAAGGTCTAACAAAATATGCATAAAGGGAAAAAATGAAACACACTGTCAAACGTCAAGCAAAAGTGATTAAATACCAAGTGGTCTAGGAAATCCCTCTGAAATTTTGCTTCTGATCCTATCTCTTCAGCCACCTGCAAAAACCAAGCTTGATGAGAGATGATGCAGTGTAAAAAGGAAATTTAAAAGCAAAACACTTAATTTTAGAATTTTATATAAACAAATTGAAAAATGTGTATCAACAGTTAATTTCAGACAACGGAGAGGAGAAACATAAAACAGAAACATTAAGGTTAAGGGGAAGAGGAAGGGTGAGAAGAAAAGTAGAAAGCATTTCACTTAACCGGAGCAAGAAAATTCTAACAATTTTGATCTACTACCAAAATCATCACGTTTCTACTATACACATAGACGATTAAAGTTTTGAGTTTCTAGAAGCAACCTTAAAAAAGTTCAACCAGTTCCCCCTACAAAGTTATTTTCTACTTGCTCTTTTCTCAAACCTATCAAATCACTTCTAAGAGACAAAACGAACATCAGAAGATATAGTATTATCCAGCTTAGGGCTTAGGACAATGATATTGAAAATCGGATCCTTTCTGCATCCTTTTTCACAATCAATGCCAACGGTTGCTGACTACCTTGACTATGATGTGCAGAGAAATGAATAATGAAACAAAACAACCAATCTTCTGGTCCACCAAATTCCGAACCAGAGGTAATGAAACAAGGCAACCAACTTAATTATCCACCAATTTAACCACTGAAGTAATCATCAAATTAAATAATATGAGTAGGACAAGAACCAAACTTCGACTCAGAGTTAATATAACAAAGCAATCAATCTTAATATTCAGCATATACGAGAACAAGAAAGAAATTGAATGGTACTAAACCAAATGCAAACTTAAACAATTTGGCAATTCAACTACCTGTGCTTCTACTGCCTTGATGAATGCCCATCTAGAAATCTATACATCTGTTTAGGTAATGGAATGATGAAAAACCACTACAGCAGTAAACAGACGTTCTTTAAAATCATACCCACGGCTTAATAAAATAAAATACTCTACGATCTTAAAACCGCTTATTCATCGCGGTCAAGGGAATTAATACAGAAACGCGAAACACATTCATCTAGGGGAGGGTGGGAAGGAGAAAGGAACAGGAAATTTACATTTCTTAATAGCTTAACTTGGCTACGGAGACCAGTAATCTCATCGTCCAAATCGGCGTGAATAGGATCGATCCGCAGCTGGATTTCATCTGAACCAGCAACCGGTCTCGTGCTAAGCCCCTCTCTGCATCCTCGTACACGAAAACAATACAACATATATGAAATTAGTTATAAATCGAATTCATACTCTCTTTCTCTTGATTTTCTAGGGCATCAAACAGATGATAGAACGAACAAGTTATAAATCGAGATCAAGCTATTGCATAATACCTTGATCGATAGGGAGCAGCATCACCGTAGAAGGAACCACCACCTCGATGCGAATTGGCCGCCATCAAAACGAAACCCCCAAGAAAATCTATCTAAAATCGCGAGAGCAATTTTAATTAAAGGGGGAAACAATAAAGCGATTGCTGCGATTTTGAAATTTCTCAGGCGATGTGTTGGTGATGTTGTCCAGTGGGACATCCACCGTCCGTCTCCAATTATCGCACGGTGCCAGAAGGTTCTACTTTTTTCTTACGGTTATTGGTGGCAAGATGGTAATTTTTCAGATTTCGCGTGTAAATAATTACTGATCAAAGCCACGAGGATATTCTGTTTTATATTTGGATTTCATTTTGTTATTATTGTCTCAATTTTTAATAAAAATTAGTCTTCATATTTTTCTAAAAAATATTTATTTAATTTTTTTACTAAGTACTGTTATCATTAAGATGTGTGTGGCATATTAAATTTAATAATAAATATTTTTTTAATTAAAAATATTTTAATTTTATATTATATTATACATCTAATTTTACACTTAAAAAACCGATCAGTTTAAGTTAATTCATAATTTTTAAAAATATAATCAATATTTAAATATTAATATAGTAAAATTTTTATCAAATTTGAATGAAATTTCATATTTAAACTTTTATATCATAATTGCTTATTGTTCTTCCATATAAGTAAGAAATGTGACAGAAACCAATTATTGTTTGATTGGATTCTTAGTAATTCTTTTATTTTGTAAAGGATTATAAATTTTAATTTTATTATATATTCTCATATTATTATTAAAAAAATTGTATTATAATTAATGTGTAATTAGAATTATATTCGATGAAAAATATTTTAACCGATATTAGTTTTCTATTTTTTTTTTGTAATTTACTAAAATTAATTTTATTATAGAAAGATATGGATAAAGATTAATACATAAGAGTCAATTATAACAATAAAAAAATAAAATAATTTTTTGTTTACCAACTCATCGTATTAATCCCGATTGAACTAAGGATAAGGACAATGATTGGATAATTCATAACTAATACAAACTATATATATGTGTGTACGCATATCTCTCTCCCAAACTCATCCATTCAATTGGGTAATATGGAATACATTCATTGTCATTTTTTGAGCGCCTTCAAAAATTTATCTTTGTTAGAAGTACGTAAAAATCTAGCATTTTTCACTTGTAGATTTTTATTTTTCTCAAATAGTTAGTAACATGTACGTGCATCCTCGGGTAGTTTTGAATTGAACTATATTTTTCGGTGCTTTCATCTAAAAATTATATTTGTGATATTTTAATTTATTTTTACGTATCATTTATTAAATGAATGCATCATATCTCCAAAATGTAATGAAAGGAACACCCATGTGCATAAATCCTCACGCGAGAGGTCCCAGGTGACAGCTTGGGTCAACTTTCATGGGAGGTACCTGTATATCCTCCATGCATGCTTGGTAATTGCGTATCCACATGTGTCTATTATACATATTATAGATATATATATTTATATTAAGCTGCATAAACTAACATATAAGAGAGAGATTTTGCGGATCGATGCACGAGCACATGAATACACATTGATAGAGTTTATCTCTTTCTTATTACTATAGAAATTTCCACTTTCATGATATATTTTATATACATATTCGGCAATATATATGTATGTATGCAAACTAGTCAATGCATGTCCATTTATATATGTTTTATATATTGTAATTTTGTCTTTGCAGTTAAACCTGCCACTGGCTAGCTCCAAAATCCAAATATAGAAAAGCACTGAACAAGTTTCTATTTGAGAGATTAGAGGGATAATTAAGGTTCGATCCTTGAAGTTTTGTGTCACAGATCTATATACACACGTGTGTAGATATATATATCGACTAAGATTCAAGGTGCCGAGCACAAATTGACCGGCCGGACACTGTTTTACTGCATTAACGAAAATGGCCGTTGGAGGTTCTGTCCCTCAAGGTCCGACGGGAAGAGAGTACGAAGGTGGCGTCACTGCTTTTGTGATCATCACTTGTATAATTGCTGCTATGGGAGGTCTCCTCTTTGGTTACGACATTGGCATTTCAGGTTCGGCATTTATAATTTATATCTTCTGTGTTTCAACTTTGAACTTAATCATGAAGGTTCAACCAATTTCAATGGTGGTTTATTATGATTTGCAGGGGGGGTGACATCTATGGAAGAATTCTTGACGAAGTTCTTCCCACAAGTGCTGAGAACAATAAATGAAAAATCCGCACATGATACCCAGTATTGCAAATACGATAACCAGTTACTGCAACTATTCACTTCTTCTCTCTACATTGCCGCACTCGTAGCTTCCTTCTTCGCTTCGACGGTGACACGTATTTTCGGCCGGAAAATCTCTATGTTCACCGGCGGCGTTGCTTTTCTCATTGGTGCGTTTCTTAACGGGTTCGCATCGAATATCGAAATGCTAATTATCGGTCGCCTGTTCCTCGGCGTCGGTGTTGGATTTGCTAATCAGGTCTACAATCAATCTCACAGCTTATTCACTAATGTTCTGTTTTCGTGCTAGATATTAATCAATTGATCTATGAATGAATTATTATTAATTCTGATTTATCCCTGCGTATCACATCCATGAATTTGAATAAAAAAAATTAACTAATTTGCTGCAGTCTGTTCCGGTTTACCTATCGGAAATGGCTCCGGCGAAGATGAGAGGAGCACTCAACATCGGATTCCAAATGGCAATTACTATTGGGATCCTAGTGGCGGGTCTGGTAAACTACGGCACAGCACAAATCGAAGGCGGATGGGGGTGGCGAATTTCTCTGGGTCTCGCCGGCGTTCCGGCGGCCATGATGACAATCGGGTCATTTTTTCTTCCCGACACGCCCAACTCGATCATCGAAAGAGGACACGTCGAGGAAGCCAAGAAAATGTTGCAGAAAATTCGCGGCACGAACAACGTTGACGAGGAGTTTCAAGACCTTCTCGAGGCCAGTGAAACTGCCAAGAAAGTGAAGCATCCATGGAAGAACATCATGCGGCGAAGATACAGGCCCCAGCTCGTCCTCTGCATACTGGTTCCATTTTTCCAGCAGATCACCGGCATTAATGTCATCATGTTCTACGCGCCGGTACTGTTCAAAACACTTGGCTTCGGTGACAATGCTTCGCTCATGTCTGCTGTCATCACCAACTCGGTCATCTGCGGGGGAACAATCGTCTCCATTTTCTGTGTCGATAGATTCGGAAGAAAGGTTCTGTTCATTGAAGGCGGTGTGCAAATGATCATCTGCCAGGTAATTAATTAATTAATTAGTCATTTTTTGCTTGACTTTTCTTAATTATTCTTATAATTTTCTTCCCTGCAGATCGCAGTGGGAGCCATGATAGGGTCAACATTTGGCGCTGACGGTCAAGGGAAATTTTCAAAGCTCGAAGCCGATATTCTCTTGTTCTTGATCTGCGCATACGTAGCAGCATTTTCATGGTCTTGGGGTCCATTAGGCTGGTTGGTGCCGAGCGAGGTTTGCCCTCTTGAGATCCGATCAGCCGGACAAGCCATTAACGTGTCGGTCAACATGCTCTTCACGGCGGTCATTGCTCAGGCCTTCCTTACACTGCTCTGCCACATGAAATTTGGTCTCTTCTTCTTCTTCGCCGCGTTTGTGGTGATCATGACGATCTTCGTCGTCATGTTCTTGCCGGAGACGAGGAACGTTCCGATCGAGGAGATGAACATGGTGTGGAAGGCCCATTGGTTCTGGGGAAAATATATCCCCGATGAAGCTATCATCGGCAACCATGGAGCCAACCAGACTTGGACGACGAAGGCTGCCGATTGCTAACAGATGTTACTGGGTCTTTTAAAATGTCATATTAGGACAATGGTTTGACGACGTCGTTTTGCTTTTTCCCTGACGCCAATTTGTGTAAAGTGCAAAATTGCTGGCATTAATTGTTTGGTTATATGTTTTTTTTACAAGATTCTGCTTTTTTTTTTATTATTATTATTTTCTTTCCGTTTTCAGTTTGAAATTGATTATGTTTTTAGGGATTCTTGTGCCACAAATATTTTTAAAATAACAAAAATATTTTAGAGTTGAAATATATATAGTTTATTTTCAATTAAAATTATTTTTGAGTTCAATTTTTATAATTTTATAAGTAATTTTTAGTTTTTGGTACAAATTATAAAAATATTTATTTTAATTTATAAATTAACTATTTAAAATCTAAAACATAAATATTTATTATGATATTTTTACAATATTACAACATAAAAAAGAATATTATGAAATATTAAAATATAAATTTTTTCATTATAACAAAAAAATTAATATGTGGTCCATTTGCCATGTTTTTCATAACGAAAACGGAAGTTTTTATTTAGAGCCAAACGCGGCATGGAGCATCCAAATTGAATGCTGCTTCCGCGTAGTTGTCACGCCCCATTTACCAAACGGCCGGTTTCATGCCTGACTAACTAACAGCCTCGAGCGATCACAATCGTTGATTAGAATATTTTCCTCCTTCTCTACCGTCGATTTTCTTGACCTTCTAGATCTCCTCACTTGCCAAGTTATTTGAAACCGCGCCCAACAATCTCCCCACCTCGTTCTGGTTTGTTTTGGTTAGTGAATCCACGCGCGCCCGTTCCCACACTGACAAAAAGGTCTCCCTCTCTCTCGCTCTCTCGGTATATATATATAATCCAACGCCTCTCCGGAACTAGAGGAACTATAATTGAGAAGAAAAGAAGCCTTGAAACTGAAATATGGGTAGTGAAAGCTGTGAAAATACTCTTCTGAAGAAACCAAGATTTCTATGCCTTCATGGTTTCAGAACAAGCGCGGAGATTATGAAGAAACAGATGGGGAAATGGCCTGAACTCGTACTCGATAAACTCGATCTCGTCTATTTAGATGCGCCGTTCCCGGCCGAAGGAAAATCTGACGTTGAAGGAATTTTTGAACCTCCTTACTACGAGTGGTTTCAATTCAATAAGGTTTTATTTTTTATACTCTCCCCTTCCATGGTTCTTTTCCCCTTTTATTTGGATTGAGTTTATGATGGTTTTTCAAATTTCTTTGTTCCATGGGTTTCTTTTTTCTTCATTCCTTCAGGAGTTTACGGAGTATACTAACTTTGACGAATGTCTTCCATATATCGAGGATTTTATGATTAAGCACGGACCATTCGATGGTCTCCTGGGTTTCTCGCAGGTAGGCGGTGAATGTTATTGGTTCTTAATTCTGTTAAGTTCTTAAGGAAATGGAGGATGGTTTTACATATTTTTCTTTGCTGGATTGACTAATTCGCACCGTAACAAAACAGTGATTGATAATATTTTCTATTACATGAACAATTCTAGGGAGCGATACTGTCGGCTGGATTGCCAGGCCTGCAAGCAGAGGTATGTGTAAATTTTCTTGCTGATGTTATTCTTTTTGTGGACGCAAATGATAGAAATAGAATTTAAGGTTTGTAATTTACAGGGATTGGCTCTTAAGAAAGTACCTAAAATAAAATTTCTTTTAATAATTGGTGGGGCAAAGTTCAAGTCACCCTCCGTGGCTGATAAGGCGTATGCTTCTCCAATTGAATGTCCGTCTCTCCACTTTTTAGGTATGAATTTTTGTTTTTGTTTTTTTTTTTTCAAAAAATATATATTATATTTATGTATTTGTGCTTAAATATGGAATACTTCGGAAATTTCTATTTAAGAAAAAACAAACAGTATAAAGTGATGATTGTAAAATATAAACAGCTGTTTTTTAAAAATATAATTAAAAACATGTATTTGTTAATTTATGTTATTATATATACTGTTATTTTTAAGTACACAATAATTTTTTGTCTCAAGGGGTGGCCGTAGCAGAATCCATGTATTCTAGTTAAGATCTTTCATTTTCCTCTTAAATTGTTGAAAAAGACTGTGTAAGACTCATTTGTTCTGTAAAGAATGTCATGACTGTATATGCTGAAAGGTTTATTTGCTTTTAATGTCAAGTTAATAAATGTTTGAGTATGAGTCAATTTTGATACTTGGGCGAGCAAATTCTAGCCTTTAAAGTAGTTTTAACCTTTGACCGCAATCTGGGTCGTTTAACTGTAAGCTATTGGTCAGCATTATCTGTTATTTTATTGTATGAATTAGGCTATACGATCATATGCTCCATCAAGTTGAATCAGTAAACCACTGTCGGTCTAACTCTATTGTTTAATATAGTATTAGAGGTAGAGACTAGCTTCTATATTACGATATCATTCTATTCTTGTTAATTTTACATTTAGGGTGGGTTTGTACTTATTTTTTGGTATGATGAATTTGCAGGTGACTTTTGTTCTTAATGTTCAGCTTAATGAACCTAACTGTGAGGGTATCTTATTCTATACATAATAATTGGAAGTTTTTCTGTTAGCTTAAACATTTAGGAAAATAAGTGTAACTTCATTATTTAACAGATTTCACATGATGCGTGAAATACATAGTGGTTTCAATCATGCAACTTTTGTTATCTATGAAATGAAGAGGAAAAATGTAGAAATAGGCTCACTGCAAGAACTGTTTTATGAATTAGAGCATGGCATACTGAAGCTCTAGGCAATTGTAGGTGAAGGATGTCTTGTGGTATTAATAAAGAGCTCTCCATTTGATTAGGTTATATCTTAGTCACTTAACCTTCCTAAATGATGGCTAATGAAACAGAAACTAACCTCTGAATATTATATTATATTTTGTTGTCTTTACTCTTCACTGAATGCAGTTCTATATTCTGTTGGCTGACAAGATAAAGTGTTATAAATCTTGCGGTTAAAATCAGCCTTGTTTTATATAAAATTTTTCTTTAATTGTTTTTAGTCCATGTTTGAGGCTTTTAACCCATATGTATATTATTCTCATTTCCAAAAACATTTGAAGAAAACTTAGACCTGGAGGTTTGAGGCTTTTAGCCTCCATGTACATTCCCATTGCCGAAACCATTTAAAGAAAACTTAGACCTCGGCTATTCTATCTGAAAAAGTGTAATTTTCCCACTCAAAATCAAACCTGGGCTTCCATATTACACGGTGGAAATAATCTCAAAGTAATTTAACAATGATGTCTATATCCCGGCCTTTCCATTGGAGAAGCTGGAACTGAGGCTTTGAGTCCTGTATGTACTCACAACAAAGTGATCTTGTGTTTGTTTGCTATATTGTTCCCCGTGCATTATTGTCTCCAGTTGATATTAATAAAGATGTATTGCTGCAGGAGAGACTGATTTTCTGAAGCCATATGGAATTGAACTCATAGCATGTTGCTCAGATCCTGTCACAGTTCACCATCCCAAAGGTCACACGGTACCAAGGCTTGGTAATTTTATCTAGTAACCTTTTATTTAATTCCCCTTTTTATTCTAGTGTTCATTTCTTCTCCAGGTTGAACACATCACATCTATTGTTTTAGAATTATTCTATTAATGGTAGAAATTTTTATTGTTTTTTACATTTCAGATGACAAGAGTTTGCCTGTCGTCCTTGGCTTCATCGAAAGAATTCAAAAGATGTTGATTTAGAAGGAAGAATGAAGTAAATGATTCTGAGGGATATGCATTTGTAGCATAATAATATTAATGAATATGCTTTACGGCTCATTTTAACACCATAAAAATTTAAGAACATCGCTTTGTTTTCATTTTTGTTTTTATGTTCTTTCCACGGCACCATTTTTTAACCAGTTATCAGATGCCCATCTCACTTTGTACTGCTGTACAATCAGGAGAGAAGGATGTGTAGTATACTTTTTGCTTTGGATTATTTAAAAGTATTTTGAAGTGTAGGTAATATGTTTTTTATTTCAATTAATAATACAATGATATATTAATTAAATACTTTGTATTTTATTTAAAAATTATAAATTTAAATTTTATTGATGATATGGAATTAATTACTTTATAAATATATTATGATTTAATAGTGATTAATTTATAATATTTAACTTAATTAAATTAAAATTTATAAATTTATTTTATTTTTTATTAAAATAAATATTATGTAATAATAAAATTTTTTTGAACAGTATGTTAAAAGTTATTTGAAATGTACATACCTGGAAGGATTTTATTGTATTTTCTATAAGCATACCTGGAAGTAGTTAAATGTTTAAAAGAGCTAACCAAATCCTTAAAATGCTTATAAATACACTTAGGTGCTCAGAATGCCTAAAACTGCATATTATTTTATATGCAACATGTATCATGTATACACACACACAGACAATGTGCATATAAATTATATACAAAGTGTATTTCTTGTATATTTGTATATGTACACTGCATATACAGTGTATGTATATATATATATATGCAATAAAAATACATTATATCTAAGAGTTTGAGTCTTTGAATTCAGACTTTTGGGTCCGGTAAAAGTTTTTCACCTAAACAAAAGTGGAGGTTAGAAATTCAACTTTTGATTAGTGCACCATTAAATATATATTATATTGCATTAAAAATAGTTTTTATTTGATATGTACTAATATTTTATAATTGTTTTAAAATTAACAAACTTATGTTACATATTAATTTATGGAAATATATAAGAGTTCATATTTGTGATATGAACAATGCACAAATAAAATGCTTATAGAAAATATAATATCTAAACAAATTTTAATTCTATTATCTATTTTCCACTATTATTTTTTTCTAGCGTTGACCAGTTTATATATATTTTTGAATAAAACATATATAAATTTAAAATAAAAATGAACACATTTTTATCAAAGAAAGCCTTAAAATATAAAAACTTGTAATCTCTGATCCAGTAAAAATTATAAATCACAATAAAACGAACTAATGGACAACTGCCTGTTCAACCGGACTTGAAAGGAGCATTTGTCATCAGGCATCGGCCCACGGAGCAGACATTATGGACCAAAAGCCGGGAGTCCAGAGAAACCCACAACTAAAGCGGGCAGCAATTACCTCTGCTTGGCTGAAAATGGTGAGGAGCAAGTACAAAAACAATGTGGTCAGCTATACGCAAAACCAGAGCGATGACACGGTTGCTTGTCATCCAATCACTTCCTTTCTCTTATAGCAAGCCTCCATTTCCATCTGCACACCCTCACTCTTTCCAGAACCATCTCTTTTCACTCTCCCGTTCGGTAACTCTCTCTCTCTCTCTCTCTCCCTTTATATATATGTATACATGCAGTTAACAAGAGAAAGCTGTTTGTATAGGGTTCTTTTCCTGCGAAAATTTGGAGTCCCTCAATCCGTGCATTTTGTTCAAAATCATCTGAAGTGAAACCAGGAAGCATGCAAAATCCGGAATCGATATCGTACCTTACGCAGCGAGAAGCTGCCGAGATCGATGAGGAACTCATGGGCCCTCTTGGCTTTAGCGTCGATCAGCTCATGGTCAGTGTGCTAAGATTTTTTTTCTCTCAGAACTATGTGATTTCGTTTAGTTTCTACTAATTTTCCTTAAGCTCTTTATCTTATTAAACATGCGTGTTTCCGTTAATTATAGGAATTAGCTGGTCTAAGTGTGGCGACATCGATAGCAGAGGTAATACTTTGGCAATCTATTTTTTATTTTTGCCTCTTGCTTGTTCTGTAAGTAGGCAGTTGATTATAGATCCGAACAGAGTAGAAGAATTCGAAAACGTCGGCTGGAATATACTCTTTTATAAGTGGCAAACGTTGTGGTGCCTGTTGAACAGATAGTTATTGCTTTTTTCCTCGTCTACCTACGTGTATTCATTTATTTTATTTATGGCGAGAATGAGAAGCTTTTGTGTTTCGTTGCTTCTGATTCTCGAGAAGCTTTGTGTTTCATTGCTTGTGACCTTTAATTTAATTATCTAGTGTGCTTGCTAGCTTCAAGCTTCATATCTTCCCATCCCTTAACATTTTTGTATGAAATGCAATGAGATCGGGCTTTCTGCTTGTAAATCAAATTATTTGACAGGTCTACAAGCCAAGTGAGTATAGTCGTGTTCTTGCAATTTGTGGTCCTGGGAATAATGGTGGAGATGGTCTGGTAACTGCTCGTCATCTGTACCATTTTGGATATAAACCTTCTATATGTTATCCGAAGCGCACCCCGAAGCCCCTTTACACTGGTCTGGTTACTCAGGTAGAGGATGTCTCTTGTCTTGAATTATACTTGGACCATAAGTTAAAAGTCTAATTTAATTCAATGATTTTGTAGCTGGAATCACTATCGGTCCCTTTCTTGTCTGTGGAAGATCTGCCTGCAGACTTGTCTAAGGACTTTGACATTCTAGTAGATGCCATGTTTGGATTCTCATTCCATGGTACGTCAGTTTTGAACTTTTGTTCCTGTAATGCTCTTTGTATTGCTTTAATGATTATGTATAAGTGCAATTCTGATCACCATTATCCACATATGATAATTTTTTCCGGACTCCTAAAAGATTTTGAGCTATTAAAAACATTTGTCTGATTAGGTTTTTTTCTCATTGAAGTATCTGTCAGTATCCATGAAAAAGGCGAGCATGCAAGTTTGAACAAATTACTTTTGCCCCATGGGAATTGAACTTCTATTTTTTTATTCAATCACATTCCTCCTCTTCTAATTTCTGCTAATTTGTTTATTTATATTGAAATTACTGTTTTCAACGCCTTCATGTAATGAAGAATCTGTTCAATGTTTTCTATGCTTATTGTCATCTTGGTCTGAGACCTTCAAATTTTTAGGTCCAAACATATCTAATCACTAGTTTGCAGTTTCAGATTAGACCAGGTTAAGCTTTTACAGTTCTTAGGTTGCTGCTGTTTTTGCTTAGTCTAGAGTAAAAAGTCATCTGCATTGTCCATATGTGATAAAAAACACTTTATTGAATTTGCGTATTATCTAAATTCAACATATCATATCCTTCAGGAACTCCAAGGCCACCTTTTGGTGATCTGATTCAAAAGCTAGTTAGTTTGCATGGTTATGATCAGGCATGTCCCAAACCTCCTGTCATTGTGTCTGTGGATATTCCTTCTGGGTGGCATGTTGAAGAAGGAGATGTTGGTGGTGAAGGAATTACACCTGATATGTTGGTATGTCTTTGATGGAAAGCTTAAATTGCTTCTTCCCACTGTATCTTTTGGGAGACTGCAGTTTTATTTGGGAGAGTTAGGCGAACATGCAATTATTCAAGCATACCTATTGAGTAACTCTCTTGCTGAAGAATTTTAGCTCTTTGTAGGTCTCTTTAACTGCTCCGAAGTTGTGTGCAAAGAAATTTCGTGGTCCACACCATTTTTTAGGAGGTAGATTTGTTCCCCTGTCAATTGTGGACAAATATAAGCTTGTGCTTCCTTCTTATCCTGGGACATCTATGTGTGTCCGAATTGGAAAGCCTCCTCAAATTGATATATCAGCCCTCAGAGAGAACTATGTATCTCCAGAATTACTGGAGGACCAGGTGGAATCCGATCCCATTGATCAGGTATAAATTTAGGTAACAAATTACCTGCTTCCCTCACTTCTCTTTATGATTTAGATTCTTTTTCTCTTTAGGAAAATTTTCTTTAAAAAAAAAAAGGTAAAAGCCAGTAGCTATCTATTACAGTTCCTAGTTTGTGATTGAGCTATGGCTTTAGCTAAAATCAAGTTGGGCTCAGAATGTTTACAGGTTTTCCTGCCTTTATAATCTATTTTCAAAATTAGGATAAGGTCATTACCAACAATGTCTACATTTAGAAACAAAGAAGTTAATCTTTTTCTAGACCAAAATTCCTTTTAATCTTTCAATCCCAAAACAACATTTAACTGCATATGTTTACTAGAAAACCATAAAACTAACAAGCAACAGAATAAGTAACCATCCACAAGCAATAAAACTACCCAATTACACGAGTAACTGACCACGAGCGAACCATAAACTACCTCAATGCATTAATAGTTACCAACAACTAAGAAAAAAATTAGCTGTCACCAAAATTTAACATAGAACATTCTGAACCGCTGGGAATAAATGGACAGAACTGAAAATGAACCACCTAATCATCTTGCCATCGCTTGCCAACTTCAGCCCATAACACTATCTATGGTATGATGTAGGACAAAAAGAGTTTGAGCATTATATTTAGAGAAAATTAAAAATCAAAATTGAAGATCTCAAATCTCAATAATCAAATCACTAACCCGTTATTCCTAATTAGCGGTACTAGATTACAATCAAAACAGAAATTCTTAAGACAATCTAGGAATTATACTTAGAAAATAAACTGATTAATTGAAATAACCTATAATCGATAATAACTATATAAGATCCTAACTATATAGGACAGTCTATAGATACTAGTTCCTTAATAAATTAAATACCTCAATAATACGTAGACCTTACAATTATATAAATATATCTTTTTTTGAGTAAATTGTGGGAACTTGATCTTTTAGTAAAAATTATATAATCACATCCTAGTATTGAAATATGTCAAATGCAATAGTTCTGCATCCTTCTGTCCATTTGGTAGAAGCTCGATTTCGAGTTTTGAAATATTAAAGTAGAAATAATTAATTAGAATTTGTCTTCCTAGCAATTGAAACTTGCAAAACTTGAGATTATCGTGAGAGAACTAGAATTCTTCCAAAATTAAGAGGTCTGAATATGCTGTGAAACAATTAAAAATAATAAAATCTGTAGAAGGAAGAATAGCCAAAGTTTCTTTATGCCATTAGGAGCTAAAGAAGTTTTTAGGGTAGCTCGATCTGATACGGCTTCTTTTGTCTTAATGGAGTTCAAATAGACTAGATTATCCATTTCCTCCTCAGTTACCTTACTTGTGTTCATGCCTTCGGTATCATTACTTCATTTTTGGTGACAATGTTGCACTTTAATAAAACTTTGCTCACTCACCAGTTCATTCCCCTTGGCATCCTTTACTTGTTCATCATGTTCTACTGAAGTTTTAGGTCCTTGTGTGATAGAAGATTCAAAATTTTCTTGACCAAGTGCCTTTATCTTTATTTTAAACATATCAATGTTATTACTGAGTTCTTGAGTAACTGATTTTAAAGCTTCTGAATCAGTTTTAGAAGGACAATAATTGTCATGTTATTCCTTTGACTTTTTTTCTCTTATGTGTGGAACATTTGTTTCCCCTATTTTAGGCATCAGAAAATAATATTGGAATTTCATTTAATAATATCTATAACATAAGCAGTATCCTTGGAGAGAATTCCAAACTTCATCTTCATAAAGTGAAGTAAGTCACAAAAGCTTGTACTGTTGAATTTCAACTAATTTTAAGTTTCTCCACATATTTATATTATCAAAATTTTCCTATATATATGTTGATATTATCTTTTAAATCATCTTTTGTGACTGAACCATATGTCTTGTAGAATGTAACTAAAAGAACACTAACCTGTTCTTGTTTTAATTAGTTGCTTTTTTGTATGCTAAAGAAATGTTTAATACAGTAAGTCCAAGCACATTTTGTCCAACTTATCCTGAAACGAACTTCCAAATCAGAAAGAACAGTTTAAAACCCAGAAAATTTCAAGTTGTGGCTCATAGTTGCTTGAAATGGCTCCAAAACACTAAGCTCCCGGGGCAGCTCAGCTTA